CTTTTTGATAAGATCCAGAAGGAGGGCTTCTTTGAATGATGAAGTGGAAGTATGAACTTTAGTGGTTGAATTTGGAGTAGGAGAATCATTACCTTCCTGCGGTTGAAGTGTATTGGTTGAGTTTGGAGTAGGAGGATTATTACCCTCATGCGCATGATTGATATCTGATAGTTTTGGTGGGATTTGAAGAGATTGGTGGCTAGTTTGAGGAAGGTTTACCATTGTTTTTTCTTTAGAAGTTGATGGAGAAGAGTAGTGAGAAGGCAAACCTTCTCACTCTAAACAAGAGCGGCTTTTGGATTGTTCGTTGTGTACGGACTCTGTTTTAATGTTTGCTCATGTAATTTTTCTATTTGCTCAACTTACAGATAAAATAGTATAATCTGGTCTAATGTTTGCAATAACTTATAAAATTTTAGATTCAAATCTAATATTTTCTCATAAGATTTCCAATTTGCTTAAAAGAATCTTAAGACCATGGTCTAAAAAGAGGACCATTTACTAAATAAGGAAAATTTCATAATAATATTCATCTTTTTTTTTTTTTTTTTTTGGCATGAGACAAACGAATTCCTGGTTCCTTTGTTTCTGTTCATATATCAACGAGGATAATAAAATTTTAAAATATAACACCCTATAACGTTAAGGAAAGAAATCATCTTAAGTGTTTTAAGAAAGACATTACCATATATATATATAAAAGAAAAAAAAAAAATCTCCGGACTATGTATTTATTGTTAAATCTCTCTACCATCATGGATATTGAGGGCCTGGTCTAAGAATGAGATTAGTTCATAACTACATCTAACCATAGATAAACCTTGGTATATGTATGTTTTTTTTTATAAAGAAAGAAATTCATTACACAGAAGATACGAGAAAAGGAATAATAAAAATTCAATCATCTATTTTGTGGGAGACTCTCAGTCGCATTAACACTCTGTTTGGATCATTGTTCCCTATCGTTCTATAATGTATTGTATTGTATTTTATCGTATTGTATCGTATCGTTTTATGAATACATGTTTGGATAGATTGTATTGTTTGTTATTGAATAATATTTTGTTGTTTGGTTTGACTGTATCGTACTGTACTGTAACTATGGGTGTCCAACGGGACGGGACGGGACGGGACGGGACGATTTTAACGGGACGGGACGGGACGGGACGAGATTTAGGCGGGACGGTGGCGGGACGGGACGAAACGGGACGGGACAAACGGGACGAAACGGTCGTCCCGTCCCGTCCCGCCAACCAAACGGGACGGGACGGGACGGGACGGGTTCGTGGGCCTTAAGTGTATTTTTTTTTTAATAAAAAAATTCTAGTTTTTTGAAAATTACTATGTTTTTAAAGTTTGCAACGGCTAGACTTTTGACTTATTTAATAAACTTAAATATTACTATGTTAGTATGTTAAAAAGAAAATTAGAAAACTAAGTAAAGAATTATAAAATATTAAAACAAAAGACTTGTAATGAAATAATCTAGTAAATATAAATTTATAATAGAGTTATAATTTATTTAATATAATTTCAAAGTATTAACTATTAAGTAACACCGACAAATCATAAAAATAATTCATCTCTTAGAGCCATTTATTTTATTAATAGAACTTTCAAATCTCAAATACAAATACAATTCTTTTGAAGAGCACCTAATCTACGCAGCCACCTTCTAGGAAGGGTTCTGTTTGAACTAGGCCTCTTAGTAGCCAATTACAAATTATCATACTAATATTTGTAAGCTCCTATATAGCTTCTTTGTAACTTATCAATAATATCTCTTGGACATTCAACTGGAATTGTCAATGTTGATTAATGTTCCATGAGCTCCATGTCATCATCGCTCCCAGTGGTAAGTATCTCATTGTATTCTTCTTCCTCCCTAGTGGTTAGTTTTTCAAAATCAAGATTTCTTCTTTCTGAATTAATCCAATCTCTGAATAAGACGGAAATCTCTAGACTGTCCTCCGCTAATGAATGTCTATGATCTCCAATTTGAAATCTTGCCGCGCTAAATGCACTCTCCGATGCTACTGATGATGATTGAATAGCCAGGATATCTCGGGCCATAATTGATAGTGTTGGAAAAGCCTTGCCACGCTCCCTCCACCATGACAAAAGTTGTTCCTTGCCTTCTTCGTCTTTAATATTTTCCAATCCTTGATTAAGATAAGAATCAAGTTCATCATCAATAGAGGAATCAAAACCTGTTATATCATCCATATCTTCCCATAAAACTTCTGCTCCAGACTTAGAAGTAGAAGGAGCAGTTTCAGTACTAGTTGTATCCATAGATTTATATTTATCAAACATTGATCTAGCATAAAAATATATGCTAGCTTGGCAGTTTTCGAGAGATGGTTGTTCATTTTCTTGAATTTCTAAATTCTCATAAATTTTACGAACAAGACCCTTTGCACCTCTTAGTTTTAAAGATGGGTTAAGTAGTGTAGAAATTAAATAAACTTCGGGAATAGGGAAAAAATACTTTTTAAATTTTAAAATCATTTCTTTAATGGCTGGTGCATAAGTTGGATTTTTTTTATACTTACCAAATACAACAGAAATTCCACAAACATACCATAATATTTGTGTAATAGTAGGATAATATATACCAGAAAATTGTTTTGTAGCATAATAAAATTTTTCTAAAAATTTAGTAAGCTCTCTAATTTCATCCCAATCAGAATCAACAATTTGATCAACAGGGTAAGCATTATGCATATTAAATACTTTTTGGATGGGCACCCGATAATCATAAGCAACTTTAAGCATTTCATAAGTAGAATTCCACCTAGTACAAACATCTTTTGGGTAAAGCTCCAGACTGAGATTGACTCTGAGTTGGAGCTTGTGTTGCGGGACTAGTGGGTGTTTCGTCTAATTCTTCTTCCTCATTTTCTTCATCCTCATTTTCTTCATCCTCAAAAAAAATATCGTTGCCAAATTGTCTTTGTAAAGTTTCATGATCTAATTGTTCTCCGACATGAACATCATAAAATGTGGGGGGTTGAGAAAATGAAGTTTCATCAACATGAGTCATTTCATCAATGTTCGTTCGAACTCTAGGGGGTATAGGAGAAGGGTTAGGATTAGGATTACTACTACTTTCACCTTTACTACTTTTTTTACTATTTTTTTTAAACATACCAAATACATTTTTAGGTGCCATGATTTAAATACGAAACTAAATTAAAAAAGCTAACACAAATATTACACACACAAATGAAATACGAAAATATAACACGTAAAGTAAACACAAAAATTAAGCACTAAAATGATACGCAAAAATTATATATTAAAATTAGGAGATGGAACGAGTGCACCGTGATTAAATATTGAAACTTGAAGAAATTGCCCGAAATATTGCTCCAAATACTTGACGAATTAATTTGAAGCTTGAAAGTTGCTCCAAAAAATTTGCCCAAATACTTGAAAGTTGAAAGATATCACTTGATAGTAACAATATTGAGAGAATAATATAGAATTTAGAATGTAAGAGATTTGAGAGAGAAGATTAATTTTTTGTGGGAAAAAATGAAGAAGAATGGGGGGTATTTATAGTAGAAAATAGGGCCAAAGTGTTAAATATTAAACTTAGGGGTTATATTAAAAATTTGGGGGGGAGAGGGGGGGGGTTGGGGTGTTTTGGGGGGTGTGGGGGCTTTTTGGACCGTTGGCAACGGCTATTTTTGCAATTTAAGCCGTTGCCCAACGGCTAGTTTTTAAATTAAAAAAAAAACAGGCGGGACGGGACGGGACGCGGGACGGGACGGGACGGGACGCGGGACGGGACGGGACGGGACGAAGCGGGACAAAACGGGACGGGACAAACGGGACGAACCGGGCGTCCCGTCCCGTGTCCCGCGTAACATTGGCCCATCCCGTTTAATTTTTAGCGGGACGGGATGGGACCGGGACGGGTCGCGGGACGGGACGGGCCGGCCCGTCCCGTTGGACAGCCATAACTGTAACTGATAAGTTTATTAAAATACCCGCAATTGTTTAAATATTAAATTTATCAAAATTATGTATAAAAATAATTTAAAAAAATAAAACAGAAGAAAGCAAAACACAATAAGGAAGTAGAACAAAGGAGCGAGACAGAAAAAGGCAAAACAAAGGAGCACAACTAATTAGAATTGAGTTACAAGCAAATTAGGAGAAAAAAATAAAACAGGAGGCAACAAAACACCTTTAACATTGGTTTGGAAAAAAATAAAGTAGGTTATAAGTTGGAGATTTGGAGCTAAAATAGAAAAAAGATAAATGGTAAAATAGAATTATGGAGTAATAAGTTAGGGCATAATTGGAAAGAAAAATAGGAAACAATCCCACCACACCAAATTGTTTGTTTCAAAAAAGGGGACTTTTCATTGTTCCGGAACAATGGATTTAACACTACAATACAACCAATTTTAATGAAACAATCAAAACAAACATTATTTTGAGATAACAATACAATACAATACAACGAGGAACAACCATCCAAACAAGCTGTAATACTACGTCCTATAACCTTTGTAATGGTCCATAATATAAAAAAAAAAATTCTCCTTGTTAGGATGCAATCACTTATCTTGTTCTCACGGAGAAAGTTGTTATTATATTCTTAAAAAAATTAGTTTTTACATAGGGACAATTGGTCACCGCAAATAAATGACAAAGAGCAAAGTGTTGACAAAGTTACATACGCATTAAAAGAAAGTAGTAATTAACAAGTAGCGCGAGCGACTACAAAGTATGAAGTTGATAGATTACTAACCTTACAAAGAAAAATTTGACAAGTTACCACATACCACACGTGCCAAACTATATGATAAACTAAATTATGTCAACCACGAAAAACAAATTGAAATCTAGTCACGCAGATCCAATAGAATTGCATCAAAATCAGATCGTGTGTAGCATGGGGCATGCCTATGACGACATATTTCACTTGAAGTCTATATATTTATTTGTACGGATGCTCTAAGTCAGGCTGTTCGAGCCTAGAATGATTTCATTATGTGCTCATTTCTTAATTTTCTCCTACCTGTCAGACATCCTTCGATTTTTCTGACATTATTGCCCCTTCATCTCACACTTAAAAAATAACAAAGAAAGCAAAAGGATAGCCAAACAGCTTAATTAATGTGAGTAAATATGGATGCATCACATGGCTCTATCAAAAGCACCTTGGTAAAAATGATAGTCGGTGCACCAAGCTCTCGTTATGTGCGGATCTGGGAAAGGGTCGGACCACAAAGATTTATTATACACAGCTTTATCCTATATTTCTCCAAGAGGCTGTTTCCACGGCTCGAACCCACGACCTCCTCACCTTGATAAAAACTAAAGTAAAAATTCAATCTTCAGTTTTTCTTATGCTGATTTCTAGAAAACCCCTTTTGATCAGTTCCAGCAGCAATGTTTTCTTTGCAGTTTTGGAGCTGAGATTCGAAGAAAACAAGCTGCATGGAAATGGTTGCTTTTCTTTAAAGCGCTAGAATTCAACATTTTCTTCAACTACTACATTAATTTTTCACAAGTAGTGAGAAGCTTTGACAAGTTAAAGAAAAAGGGTATTTAAGTAAGTCTACCATGCCCTTTAGTGCTTCTTTCTTTCTTTAGAGTTTTATTATACTATATTTAATGTTAAATAATTGATACTAGTACAGAGGTGTTCAATATTATTTTCATTCATTCAAAGATTCAAAAGAAAGAAAGAAAGAAAGAAAGAAGTTCTAGGTCATCTGGCCTTTGTTTTGCTGCCCCATATAGTAGATAGACTTGGAATTCATTGAACACTGGTCACTCGTGTGACTTTCTCCACATATCTCAAAGAAAGCATTAAAATGATTAGATTTGGAGATGCAATGACAGTAGTGATGCATGTAATGTTAAGGAAAAGCATGAGCATATACGAGGAATTGGCTTATGTGTTGGGGGATTTAGTTTGGATTCTGAATTCAATGGTTCGATTTTCAGGCATGTTTGTTCATAGGAGGTCTAGTTCTGTATCTGCTCGCCACTATTCACCTATGTCTTCCATGCGTGTTCGGCCCGATCGATAAGGTATGAAAGAGTCCCCTCTCTGTTTATTTCTCCGGTTTTTACTATTAAGTAGCACTTTTGCTATTCAATCATAGAATCAATTGATTCCGATCGTCGAGCCCGGTCCGGCCCGCTTTGTCTAAATATGTAATGTTGCGGCAAGTCAATTGCCTCTCCCTTGTCAAATTTCCTTGTGGAAGATTTTTGAGTCAAGAATATTAATGATCATTCCCTTCCTCTCTTCATTAGTGTTTGTATCTTTTATGACTACCGAAAACATCGCTTTAATTTTGGATCCTTCATTAATAAAATATTACTAATTGATAGAGTGTTGATTTTTGAGAGTGTAATAATGATTGTTTGATCGACGAAGTTATAGATAACTTAAAACCAGATGGCATCTTTGTTCTATTTCAGTAGGTAAAATGATGATTAGTGATCAGCCAAAGTTTGGTGAACCCTTCAAAATGTTAGTGCTTAATTGAAAAGTAGGCAAGAACCTAGCTAGATTTACTTCATCAGAGTTCCCAAGTTCCCAGTATACAAAAGCTCCTATTTTCAAGACATTTTTTGAGTGTAATCATACAACTCAAAACAGGCAGATCTTCCCAAAACTATTTTGGGGCTTGCCCAGCGCTCGTCCGGCACGGGCACTATCAAAATGCCCTAAGACTCATGGGTGGGGCATAGTTCTGTGAGGCTCCCTAAACACGTCAAACGCCCACCGCTCGAGGCTCGCCCAATAATTATTACTCAAAATCATGTATCAAATTTTCTAATTAACACTATTAACCCTCAACATTCTTTAACAAATGAATGATTTTTTATTCATCTATATATAGGAATATGAAGATTGGGAGAGACTCAAATAACGAATTATAATATTGCATATTTACTAATTGAGAACAACGTGAGCGTGAATATAATTTGAATATTTTTCTAATATAGATAGCCAAACTTTATATCTTCACTTGCTATTGGTCTTTATGTCGTAGCTCTATTTTCTATTTCTCTCAAAATTATCAAACTTTTATTATTTTGCCATGTGAAAGTAATTTTGTATTTATTCATGAAGTAGTAATACTTTAAATTATAACACTGGTGAAGTTTATTAATTATTTACTTTTAGGAAGGTAAAATATTTAATTTAATAATATTTATTAAGAAAATGTGATTTCTTATTATTTGAAAGTTAAAGACATTATAATTGATTTGTGTTTCATAGTAAAACTGACGTTATTGATTTTTTTGCCGGTAAAAACATGCTAGATATTTTGTTTTCTATGAGTTTTTTAATCATTTGCAATTTTTTTAAAATTCTGAATGTACTTTTTATAATTTTTATGTTATTATGTTGCTTTATTAATTTTTGAATTAAAAATTTAAAGATCCGTGAAGTTTATGCCCCATGCCTCAGGTCTTAAGTCTCGCCTTATAATGGATAAAATGCCTCGTTCACGCTCCGCCTTTTAAAACACTGCTATAGATCTGCAATGCCGAGGTTTGAGCGCTGTAGTGTGCACTTGTCTGTGCGTGCAAGTTTATTCTAATTTTAATTGCTACGTTTTGCTCTCCGTGTTCTAATTATGTCAAACTATTTAATTAGACATGACGTTTGAAATGTTAATTACATTTACTATATCATATGTAGTAGTAAAAGATAATGTTAAAATAGTAATCAAAAGTTAGTTTAATAGAGAAGATATCATTTCAAAGCTAAATTCAATTATTACCGGCAAAAAAATTATTTTCTCAAATTCAATAAAATATACATCAATTAATATGGGTATTATGGTAAATTATGCACTTTATTTATTATTTTTTAAGAGGCGTGAAAAGTCAAAACGTGCCAAATAAAAGTGAACGAAGGGAGTTATTGGTATAGATGCAATAGTGTTTTACTTGAACTCATAACAGTGTTAATGCACCTAGAAAAAAGAAGCTCAAACCTCTGTGGAGCTGAGGGCTAAAACAGACTTATTAAAATTTGACTTTGATACTTAATGAAAGACCTTGAGCAAATCAAAATGTTAAGAAAGTATTGGGTTAGTACCTTAATGTAACAGTTTCCTTTGTGGTGCAACATCGAACCAACTAATAAATGCTAAACATTGCAATTTATTTTACATTAATATCTTTCACATCTTTCCCTCCATCAATGGAAGCGACACTAAGTAATACACATTCACAAAGTAGAATACACACCTATAAACTAGGATATCAAACTGCATTGATCAGTTTGAAGGCCCTTTAAACAACAACAACAACATACCCAGTATTACCTCTTATCGTAGGGTCTGGAGAGGATAGTGTGTACATTACCCCTACCTTGTGAAGATAGGGAGGTTGTTTCCACTAGACCCTCGGCTCAGGAATACATAAGCACCACATTAATGAAAATATAGACAAGAAGGGACAGTACCAAAAAGCCATATAAAAGCAGAATAAAAACAAAAAAGATACTAAGGTGATCAACAATGAAGGAAATAACGGTTAGTCATAAAAACCTACTACCAACAGAAAGCGAGACTGCGTGCCAATACTACCGTTATGAACACTCTAGACTACCTACTCTACTACCTTAATCCTCGATCTCCATACCTTCCTATCAAGGATCAAGTCTTCGGTCAGCTGAAGTTGCGCCTGTCTTGCCTAACCACCTCTCCCCACCTCTTCTTTGGCCTACCTCTACCTCTCCGTAGGCTCCAGTGTCAACTCTCACACCTCCTCACCGGGGCGTCTGCGTTCCTCCTCCTCACATGACCAAACCATCTAAGTCGCGCTTCCCGTATCTTGTCCTCAATAGGGGCCACACCCATCTTGTCGTGAATAACCTTATTTCTGATCATATCTAACCTGGTGTGCTCGCACATCCATCTCAACATCCTCATCTATGCTACCTTCACCTTCTGGACATGAGCGATCTTGACTGGCCAACACTCAGCCCCATACAATATCGTTGGTCTAACCACCACTCTTTATAACTTACCCTTTTGTTTCGGTGGCACCTTCTTGTCACACAAAACACCGGAAGTGAGTCTCCATTTCATCCATCCGCCCCAATATGATATGTGACATTTTCATCAATCTCCACATCTCCCTGAATAATAGTCCTAATGTACTTAAAACTTCCTTTCCTATGGATGACCTGCGAGTCCAGCCTCACCTCCTCTTCCCCTCCTTGAGTCTCGCCACTAAACTTACAGTCCAAGTATTTTGTCTTGGTCCTGCTCAACTTGAAACCTTTAGATTCCAGGGTCTGCCTCCATACCTCTAATTACGCGTTGACACCGTCTCGCGTCTCATCAATCAATACAACATAATTTGTAAATATCATGTACCATGGTACCTCCCCTTGGATGTGGCGCTTCAGTACGTCCATCGTCAGAGCAAACAAAAAAGGGTTGAGTGCCGAACCCTGATGCAACCCCATCATAACCGGAAAATGGTCCGAGTCCCCACCCACCGTCCTCACTCGGGTCTTTACTCCATCATACATGTCCTTAATGAATCTAACGTAGGCAACAAGTACACCTCTAGCCTCCAAACATCTCCACAAAACCTCCCTCGGAACTTTATCGTACGTCTTTTCTAAGTCGATGAACACCATATACAAGTCCTTCTTTCTCTCCCTATATTGCTCTATCAATCTCCTAACAAGGTGGATGGCTTCTGTTGTCGAACTTTCCGGCATAAACCCAAACTGATTCTCGAAAATAGACACACTCCTCCTCACCCTTAGCTCTACCACTCTCTCCCAGACTTTCATAGTATGGCTAAGCAGCTTGATACCTCGATAGTTATTGCAATATTGGATATCACCCCTTGTTCTTGTATACAGGAACCATCATGCTCCTCCTCCACTCTTCGGGTATCTTCTTCGTTCTAAAATTTACATTAAATAACCTAGTGAGCCACTCCAAGCCTACTTTGCCCGCACTTTTCCAAAACTCCAGCGATGCTAGGTCCAAAGCAAATGGATCCATGACTTTTGATTGAGGAGCTTAACTTTTATAAACTGATAATGTAAAACTATATGTCACTATCATATAGTTAATAACTATATGTAACTGTTCACTAAATATGGAATTAGTAACGTAGAAACTTAGGCAAATTCTTCTACAGTAACTTAAAATACACCCATTGCGTTCAGTAGAAATGATCAAGATTTTTTTTTGGGGGGGGGGGGGTTTGGGGGGGGGCGTATGAGATGGAAATGTCACTAAGCTCATGTATACGGGTATGTTTGGAAAGTCACCCTGTAATTGGAATTGGTGTAATTACTAGGGTAGTAATTACACAGTTGTGTAATTACGACGACATGTTTTGTTTGTCATAGTGTAATTACAATGTAATTACAAGTTTACTGTTTGGTTGCACAAGTGTAATTACACAGTTAGATAAATTTTAGATTAAGTAATTATCAAAACGTACAAATTAATATAATAAATATATGCCTATAAATTTGTATATAGATGATATTATATTTGGTATTTAAGATGTATATTTTTTTCGTGAATATACATTAATTAGTAATCGTATAATTATAAATAATATTGTAACAATAATTTATATATATATATATATTAATTATATTTAGTTTAGATACTTACAAAAACTAAACATATACGTTTTGTAAGAATATCATGGAATTCATGAATGATGAATAAATTAATATTTATAAATATAGTGTTATAACATTATTTAAATATTTGGCAAAACTAATCTATCAATTCTAACTAAAAAATGAACAACATGCAATGTGAGCCAATACTACTAAAACAAGTATTGGAACCATGAATATAACATAATTTCAAAAATAGAAAATAAAAATATAGTTTAATATATGTCAAAATCCAACATAATAATAGTAAGTCCCACTACTTAAGATTAGGAAATATAATGAGTTTATAACCACATTCAACAACGGAATTCCATTTTAGTTGCATCATTCATTATATGCCAAGTTATTAATGACTCATTATTTCTAATATTAGGATGTGTAGTTTCAAACATAGAATAATAAAATAAATAAAAAATAAAATATAAGCAATTACATGGAATCACAAGAAATAAAGATAGAGAAATAAAAGATAAATAATGTACACAGAAAAATATATTTAAAATTTCAATAGAAATTAAAAAGTAAAAATAAAATTAAAAAAAATTAAAATAATAGAAATAAAAAGTTATAAAGAAAATAAATTAAAATAAAAACAAAAAGAAAGAAACCTAAAAGCAACCTTGTAATTATACAGTTTAATTACCACAAATTCTCACCTCCCCCTGAGAATTGGAGAGTGTAATTATACCCCTCCAATTACACCC